TTAGAGGGGTCTCGGAGGCGAATGTAGTGATTCACCTCTCTCATAGGCGGTAGTTCTTCAGGTATTTGATCAGAGAAAACATCAGAGTATTCATCCAATAGTCGTTGAGCAGTTGCTTCACAGACTGCGGCTCGGTACTCTCCGCTTGTCAGCTTGCATGAGACTCTGACCTTCTGATCTAGGAAATCGATGTTTGATTCCCCGCACCTGGTTATAGCTTTGTGGCGGTTCAGGAATAGCATACCTATTAGGGTATCATATTTGGCTAGATTTCCAACAAGCATTTCCTGGGGGGGTAGGACTGCAGAACCAAGTCGAATAGTCGCACTACAGGTTTTATGGCTTGTGGATCGTGATCCCTTTACTGCCATATTGACTGGTATAGGTTGGTTAAGGTCTCGAGTTGGGAGTCCATGGACAGAGATAAAGGCATTACTGATCATATCTCTTCTGATCGCACTAGTGTCGAATAGGACTCGAGCCTTTTTACCATTGATCACAATAGTACCTTCTAGGGCAATGTGTGCTTTGAATGTAGCTGGAGGTCGAACACTGTTGCATTCCACATCGATATATCCGATATGGATCTCCTCATATTCACTGGGTTGGGTATTATCACTATCGCTCTCAACGTTGTTGGCCGATGCCTCTTGCTTAATTGCCTTTCCTTTCCCTTTCTTCGTAGGGCAGTTCTTTGCCATGTGTCCTGTTTTTCCACATTCAAAACATTCTCCTTTCTGCCATCTCGATTCTTTGGAGGATTTTGTTTTCTTCTTGAAAATCCGTGGGGTATTGTCTTCAGAGTTGCTGGGGGCCTTGTGCCGTGGCTGGCTATTCCTACTAGAGAATGTTTGTGTTTTGTAGGCCTTGGTCTCGTGGAGAATGGCGTCCTTTCGTTCTGCTCTTGCAATTATTATTGCAATATCGTGGCCATCTTCCTCGAGCGGTTCTACTTCTCACCGGAGGATAGGGTGCATAGTGTCGTAGAATCGTCGCTTCAGGATGTATTTGGAGATACTTTCTTTCTCCATTCTGTCCTTATATATCATCAGGTCTGTAGCCACATTGGTGATTCTCTTGACATGCGTTCCATTAACTTGCTGGAGCTGGTTGAATTTGTTGTATAGGAGGTCGTTGGTAATAGAGGATTGGAATCGTCCTTTCAGGTAATCGAGAACTGTAGATCCTCTTAATCTTACATTTCCGCCGTATTCCTTATAGCATTGGTGGTATGCGTCGGTTGCCTTTCCTTCTCAGAATGATTCAATGTATAGTCCTGTCGTAGGATCTTCCACATCTTTCTCTTACAGGAGAAGATAGTGTGTGAGTTCAGTCGCCCTTTGGTCAAAGGCTTCAGGTTTGAGGTCTTTTCCCTCCCCTGTAAACTTCGCAGGGAGGTGGAGTTTAAACTTAGGGGGTTCAAATGCTGCAGGTACTTCCTCTTCTTCAGGCTGAGCCCACGATTTTCCTCCTCCAGACAGCCCTCCTTCCATGCTAGCCATGTCCGATTCGCTACTGGATTCAGGGTGGATTGGAGGTTCAAAGGAAAGCTTCTTTGCTGGAGTAGAAGGGAATTCTCCTGAAGGTTATGTGTCTTCCGTGTTTGCAAGATGGCCCGGCTCTTTAGCAGAGCGCCACGGTTGTTTCTTTCTTGTAAGGTCTTGTTGTGAGATTTGCTTTCCATTTCTGGTCATCAAAGACTATATCTTAGGTTTGAGACGAAGCCGAATGTGCCGTGATTCTGCCGCTTCTCTCCGCTAGCGTTCTCAGGTAAATATCGATAGGTTGATCAGGCCTAAATCCGAGGACAGGTTCTTAACCACTTGCTGAGGTTAAAAAAATGTAACATGTTCACAGAGTGCTAATTATGTTATCGGTAATAGAAATGATAGTTGGCAGGTGGTCTGCTCTTCCAGAGAGGAGGCAAGAGCTGAGAACTAAAGGAGGCTTCGAGGGTGTACTGAGGAACAAAGAAGTAACCGTTCAACCAAGTATATTGAAATACTGTCTGTCAAAGTCTGCCTTTTCTATCGTAGAAACAGGCGGTCTTTAAATACACAAATTTGTTCATGTCTAGCATGAACGAAACTAATCAAAGGTATCAATCGATACACTTTGGTGAAACTAATTAAGTATCAAAGCTATACTTAAAACAACACATAAAACAAAACCAAGTATCAAACGATACTTAAAACAAACCGAGTATCAAAGCGATACTTAAAACAAAACATAAAACAAAACCAATAACCGAATACCCGTACCGGTTACAATCTTTAATTTTTTCTTTTTTTATGATTATCTTCTGAGGAGGGGTACCAATCGAGAATAGTTCTCTTATAGTGAGTGGCTAAACCTACACTACTGTATTAGTCCGCGCATTAAAATAATGTGAAATTTGGTAACAGGGCAAGGGATAGTACTAGGATAAAAATATTTCCGAAAAGTGATCATAGGTGGCAATCTCATGAGATAACCTGAAATCCCGAAAACTTCAATCCACACTATACCACCCAAAATGAAAGAGAAAACTCTTAGAATTGGACATCTCTCAGATATTGAGAAAGGCGAAATTATTGGACTGTAGATGGTCCATCAGAGTGTTGCACAGATCTTATCACTCTTGACCTATCCAAGACAAGACTCAGTGGTACGAAAGTTCATTCAGTGGTGGCAAAAGAGAATGCACTATCCTAATCGTCCTACAACTGGCCAGCCTTCCAAGATAAGTGTGTGAGATTGGCAATGACTGCTGCAAGCAGCAAAGGCAAAGATATGTCAGTCTTCAAGCAAGTTAACACAAACAGTAACTCCAAATGTTATATATATATAGACTGTCAAGGGTATCCTGGCAAAAGTAGAGGTTAAAAAATAGCAAGTAAAAAAGAGAGCAAAATTGACTGAGATCCATACAGTAGAATGGTTATGCTGGGCTTTATGCTATGCAGATTGGAGTGAGGGAAATTGGGAGTGGGTCATATAGAGCGACGAATGCAGTGTAGAAAAGAGCAATGATCTACAGACTGTTTGGGTCTTCAGTACGCCATATGAAAAGTGGGATAAGGACTGTATCCAAACACATGAAAAGAATTCAGAAGTGAAGCTGATAGTTTGGGGATTCTTTTGGGGTTCATATCATGGTACCTTTGTCCCTTTAATTGTCAAATCTGTGGATAGATTTGTCTATGAAGATCTTTTAGATTATCTTTTACCTCCAGTCCTGCAGAAAGTGCAAGAAACCACTGGTGCAAGCCCTATTTTTATGGAAGACAACTCTAGAGTCTATAAGAATAATGTGGTAAAGGAATGGCATGATAAGCATGGAGTTGAAGTAATGGAATGGCCAGCATGTTCACCAGATTTGAATCCAATCAAACACCTCTGGCATCGGCTTAAGGAGAAAATGCAAAAGATGTATCCTGATATTGAGGATACAAAAGGAAGAACAGAAGCAGTGAGAAGACGTCTTGCTGCGGTTGTTCCACTTGTGTGGAATACATTGGAGTCAGAATATCTAGAGAATTTGTAGAGAAGTATGCTGCCTAGAGTCTATGCAGTTATTGCAGAAAATGGCTGGTATACCAAATATTGACTGTTTTTTTGAATTCTTTTTACATATATGTCTTCTGCTATCTGTAATTAATCCTCTCACTCATTATTGTATGGTCCCAATATATGGTTCAGGCGGGGAGGTAGGAAATATCGATGTTGTAGAGGTGAGTACGGGGGGATTTTTCAAGCCTCGAAAAAACTTTGTCACCCGACTGTACCCAATTGCCAGAAACCATAGAGAGCACTACCAGCTGGGTAACCCCCAACCAAAACGTCTTCGAATACGGTAGGAACATGCTGGTTCTCCCATACCTTTGATCTTGGTGCCATGCAACAGTGGTACTGTGCAAGTGTCGTTCGATTGCGAGCACTGTACAGTACCTGCCAGTGCTCGCACGACCGAATTGAAGCTGGAGACTTTATGTTCGTTCGTTCGCGCCTCTTAACTAAGAATTGACCCCAACTTTGCACTTTCTGTACTCGTAGGTCTCTTCACTTGTATCATAGCTACTCCAAAAAGGGCGCCAATCCTCAGCGGGGAGGAACTAGTAATTTACCGGGTATGCGAATTGCCATTTCAGGCGTCCCGCCTCCACTTGGCCCCACGAGCACTTAATTCTACTAGTAACTTATCGAGTTTTCTAGTGTTTATCATACTATGTGTACAGTATATCAACCTATCGCTAATAGACCACTTTTTGTTCGAGGTTCAAAGGCCATTCCTCGTGTCTGTTCCTAAGGAGTAGGACTTTCAAAGTACCGCGGTGTTTCTCGGGGGGGGTGGTTACATGGCCTCGGCACTTTGGCTTGAGGTGGCACCCATTGATACAAGTATCATATCCGGGCAAAAAAAAAAAAGTAGTGAATTTGGTATTAGCTGTGTAGTTGAGAGATGTAAACGAAGAGGGCCAAGGGAGGCATCTAAATTAAGGTTTGCCGCTTGTCGTGGCGGAGAAGGTATTGGGCAGAGTAGTCTACTCGTGCCGTATTCTGCGTAAAAGCTCTCGTAGTAAATTTATATATCGAGTTATGATAAAGTCGCGATTAAGGCATCATCTTATAGCACTCGCATTATTGCTTCAAAATTTCACAAACCTAACATTTTGGAATGCGACCCGGACTTTACGTGAGCACATTAACTGGTAGACGCAATTCAAATATATTCTACCAGACTATTATTAGTGTCAAATCTATGAAATGTCCCTCGCAATCAAACCGCGAGCCAGCACGCTAACTTCGACAGCGGTCTGCATGCAAGACTTTCCGTGCCTTCAACCATGTTGATAAGCCATGTAAAGTGGTTCGATATTCGCCAGCCGTATACCTCTACTCAATCATGGGAAGGATCAAAGAACTCTTTGTGACTGGTGAGGAGATAATACTGGCGCAAAACTTTTGTCTCAATCACTAATGTTGAGTAGCAGCAGAGGCAAGGAAATGAGCCCAGTCGGTGAAGATCTTAAATATCCATCTCGGATAAGAGTCCTCCCCCAACTATCCCGCGCCTAATATCACACTTGTGAATCCGATCCGCAGCATAAGCGCACCGAGTAGAAATGAAAACCCGATTCGAACAGGAAAGAAGACCGTAAAACACCCCATAAATGTAAAAAAAAGGGGGGGGGGATATTTAGACCATAATCCCCCGCTAAGTGGAACAAATTTACTTTTTTGTTTATGTCGACAAACGAAGAGGGAAGTGAAAAAGTGAAAAAGAAGGCCACCGTTTACTCCTTGTTCTTGCCCTTTTCGCTCTCTTTCGCCTTTCCACCCTTCCTCTCCAGGATTGACTCACGGTCCTTATCCAACTTCAGTTTGGTAATCTGAACTTTTGAGGGATGAATTCCAATGGGGACCGATTGGCCGTTGACCTTCTCCCTGGTAACGCGCTCGATGTGGATGACATATTTGAGACGGTATACCGAGACAACCTTTCCCTCACGGCCCTTGAGAGATCCACGGGTGATGACGACCTCGTCATCCTTGCGGATGGGGATCGAACGGACCTATGCACCGTTTAGCTAAGTTAGATACTAGAGTTCGTAAATGGAGCAAAATCGTAGGCGGAGATATGACAGACGTTGTGCTTCTCTCTCAACTCCTTCGAGAGAGGTGCCGACATTATAATTCTGCGGACGGAAGAGGGGGCGCTAAAGTGTGCCTTTCTGGACTTTCTCCTGGACGCGGAGATGCCTAATTTCCATCACAACATCCAAAGTTAGCCAAACTTTCATCTCAGCCGTAATATTTTTGATCTGTAACCCTTCCTCGGGTTGCAGAAATCCAAACGTACCGGCATTGAGTTTGGTCATTTTGGCAGTGGTGAAGGGAGGTTGATGGTGTCGTTGGTCGGTTTCCGCTAGGTTGTCGTCCTCAGTCGTCAAAGTTGGGAGTATGGCTGAGTTTTCGCTGCATCAGGCTGGCGGGCAGTCGCTGTGGGTGGGTTTATTTGTCGAGACTGTCCTACTAGAGGGCGGGGGCTGTGCCCTAAGGGAGTTACCGATTGAGATCAGATCAGACATTGATGAGAGATTAGATTTAAAAGATTAGATTAAGTAAATCTAGACGCTAAAATTCGATCATAGCGGACGAGCAACCGAGACCCTCCCTACACACGCCTCGCCTCGCCTCACCACGGCTCACGTCGTCCAGCCAAATGCTGCAGCATCTCTCTGTTCCAACTCCCTCACGTGTGGCCCATCACTCTCCCTGGTAGTTTTACTCTATTGACTCTAGAACTTCTGGTCATCCAGTACATAGAACTCAGTCTTCAATCTTTCATTTTCACATCATCCATAGTTTGCAACTTTCCGCCTGTGTTTTACTGCAAGTCCGACGCGCCCCAACGTGAATCTGATACATCTCTCGAGGGGAAGCAGGAAAGCACACAGTGAGCAGTTTGTCCCATTGAGCTTCATCAATCTTGCTCTATTTTGTGATTTTTGCTAACGCGTTCCAACTTCGGATACGTCAGAGGAGGGGGTTTAGGACAGCTATGTCCTCAAACAATAGCTTTCCGTATAATTCACATCATGTCCCAGCAGAAAACCCGGCCCAATACAAACCTTCACTACCAAGCCATAACATCAACCAGACGTTTCATCAACAGCCTTTAGCCGGTGGCTACGTTCGACCCGAATATGTAGCTCCACAGAATTGGGCTCCCTATAGCAATAGTCAGCATGCGTATGCTTTGCAGCAAACCTCCTCAGGGGGCTCTGGAAGCGTTGACGGTGGTCCTGGAAGGAGTGATGGAATGGTTCCTTCTAGTCAGGCACAAGTGAGGGCGGCAGCAACCGCAACAACAATGCCTCCTACGCACCAAAACCAGAATGGGATTGGCGCTCGTCAAGTTTCTGGAGCCGGAACTGGAGGCTATGATTATGCGACTGCTTACTCTCATGACTCCAACTATGGACAAGTCTCTTCTGCCCCTTCGACGTCAGCCGATTCTCTACAATCACAATTCCGCACTACCGCTCCATCGTTACAGCAATATTTCAATTATTCTGGTGTCCCGCAGCATACTGCTGCCGGTTACGTGCCAGCGTATCAGGCATCGACCTCGACTGCTTCTACTACTCATATTTCGCAAACGCACCAGACGCAACCTCGGATGACAAAGCCAAGCTTCCAGCAGCCGCGATCACAAACACCGAGAAGCACCACGCAGGTTCCCGAGAAACCTGCATCAACATACACATCTTATCAATCAACTCACAACACTGCTCCGCCGCAGCAACAGCCACTGTTTTCAACAACGCAAAACCACTCGCTTCTATCGGCCGCGGTGGGCCAGCCAATAATCAATAACCTTCAAGATTCCAGCGCCCAATCTACCCCAACAACCCGGAGTGCAACACCGGAGGTTCCTTATTCATCTGGCCCTTCCTACCAAAAGACAAATGTGCAGGCAGCATCACAGCAACCATTGTCAATGCTGAGAACTCAATTGCCGACAGGTCCCAACCGCCAGACTTCCATAATAGGATCCTCAACACAATCCGATGATCGCGAGGATCTTTTTCGGGCCATACGCCCTCCAAGGGGCAATGGAGAGTCTATACAAAACACCATGGATGTGCCAGATCAACAGAATACTACGCCAAATTACACTCGGAGTCTACAAGAACAACAGCAAGAATATCGATACCAACAGCAGGTACAAAACCAAGCGGAAGCTCGGGCACAGGCACAGGCTCGAGCAAAGGTGGAGGCTCGAGTAGAAGAACAGGTGCAAGCCGAAGCAAAAGCTCAAGCAGCAGCAAAAGCTCAAGCAGAGGTGAGAGCTCGAGCGGAAGCCCAAGCTCGAGTGCAAGCCCAGGCACAAGCAGATAGAGAAGCCCAGGCGCAGTTACAAGCACAAGCCCCAAAGAATTCCCAAGTAGCTAAGAAGTCGAGAAAACGGTCTCAAGGTAAAACAAAACAACAAAACTCTTCCTATCAACCCCTAGACGAACCCCAAGCAAATCAACAATACCAACAGTACCAGCAACATCAACAGCAAAGCCAGCAGCAGAATTATCAACAGCCGCAACACTACCGGTATTATCAACCTCCAGTGCAGCAAACCCTGACAAATAACCAGAATAACCAGCAACAATTGGAAACTTGCGCCCACCCCACTCCCCTTAGGGATGCCGCCACACACTTGCCGCCACTCGCCGGATATCACCCTGAGCCAGAGCAACATCATGAAGCCCGGGCATCACAACAGCGACCAGAAACATATACCACTTCTCACCCACAAAATCAGAATTCAATGGCGAACCCTCCTCAGTATCCTCCCCAATATCAACATGAGCCGCATCAAACCCCTAGGCACGGGTCCCCTTCGCAAAAAAGCACTCACAATCCTCAGCCTCAACCACTTCCACAGCCACAACTCCAACAATCCTCGCAATATCACTCGCCGCCAGAACCTCAGCATCCGCCACAAGAACAACAGCGGCAACATTTGCCACACTCCGCATCTCAAACACAAGAAGCCCCTGAACCCAAGCCAGCGAATTTAGGACCAATAGATCCTGCTGTGTTAGAACAACAGATGAGGGACATGGTAGAACGGATGCGCTATTATCAATCACAGGATCCCCACACCTTTCAGGCTGTGTGGGACAGTGTCCGCAAGAGCAATTCTAATGCTAATGCAATTGCTGGCGGAGGAGACGATGGGCATCCGAAAGCTATCATGCCTAACACCGGTAACTCCCAACATAGGATCTCAAATGTCAGCTCGCCGCCTTCGATCGGTAGTCCCTTGGTTAGACCTGTAAGTGTTGCATCCATTGAAAGGCGTACAATGGGCGAAGATGCTCCACCGCAACCCCCCCAAAGTGAAATTTATGAGGGTTATCACAACCGAACGAGCAGCAGCTATGATGTGAATCCTATCAATGACAATCAACCCCCCCCCGAGTTGGCCCAGCAAAACTATTCAGTTCCCCAGCAGCCGGAACGACTACCCCAACCTCCCCAGATGACAGCACAGAGTGCTTCCACACACCAAGTTCCAATAGTTCCACCTCCGAACCCGCCAACAAATACCCCATCTTTATCGCGTGCTATCAACACCAGAGATACACAAGCACCCAGAAATAGCGCAAACAAGCATGGATGGGATATTGAGCAAAAGAGACGTGTTGCAAGAGCTGTAGCGAGTTACCTGTGCAGCACTTCGGAGAGTGTTATATCCGAGGAGGCTGTTATGGAACTTCTAGACAAGAATAACCATTTTGTTAGCTTGTGCGAAAAATTGGAAAGCCGTGGATTCAAATTCGATCGTGGGGTGTTTGCTCGAAAGTTGCTGCAGGAGACATCAGGGGCAAAGATGGGAAAGCCAAAAGCGAGGGAAAGGGAGAGTTATAGCGGAGGTGCAAGAGTACTTGGCGAAGTAGACGATAAACAAGAGAAGGACATTCAAGAGAAACAGCAGCAGCAAGCTGTCAAACCCTCGCTTGTCGTGAAGCTATCGCTCACACCCTCGGCTACTCCGACGAGCGCGAACACCAGTACACAAACTCAGCAGCAGTCCTTTCCGAGAGTTACAAACGAAATTTTGTCGCGGTCGCTTGCTCCTCCCCCAACAGCCCAAACTTCCACACATAGCCCAAGCATGACAGCTCCAACAAAAACCCCTCCACAAACGGGGACCTCTATTATGGCGCCGCGAGGAAGAGGGAGGCCCAGAAAAAACCCAATTGGGACAATTTCCGGACCACCGAAGACTCCTGCGGCTCAAACCATTCAGCGATCTTCTCTCCCAACGCCCCCGGTGACAGTAACCTCCAACCCCCAGGATAGCTCGCTACCGTTGATAATTTCCTCTCCTCTTTCTACTCCTACATCCGCACCCCTACTCAACCAAAATTCCCAGCTCCGATCAAGGGGTCCTGGCAGCGAGAGCATCAACAACGATAACATCTCCGAAATCCCTAGAAATCCAACACCCCAGAGCGTGAGAGCCGCACACGCCGCCCCTCCACTGGGACATCGTAAAGACCCACAATTCGTGACCCCGTCACTCGTGTCCAGGACGCCGACACCTCCGGTATCAACCCTTCATCCCACCCCTCTGACAACCACTACTGCGGCTGCAACCACCTTTGGACCCAACCATCTCAACAGTTTTCCAACAAAGATGGTTTCATCCAACTCAACAGTTGACTCCGCTCACGGGCCCCAGAAAATGGATCATAGCCCTGCAGAGCATAACGAACCTGGGGATAGTCGTGAAGAAACTGGAGCACCCGCCGGACCTTCCGACAAGCAAAAATCCCTTGTTGTCAAATTGCCCTTACCAAAGTTATCACAACCGAAAGGTAATTTCACCAACCACCTCCCAACCTCCCCTTTTTTAGATCTAACATTAATTCCTCCCCAGCCGGGAAGCTAACCGTGCCACGTGCAGAGAACCCACCTGTTATCGACCTTACCGATCCCACTCCGGAGCCGCAATCTATCAACCCTTCTCCTAATCCAGAGTCTGCAGCAACAAACCTTCGTGAGGCACAAAAGACTAAACAAACCAGTCCCGAGCCTAGTGTAATGCCAGCGAAAACCCCAAAACCAGAAATAATTCTTGCGGAGCAGCCTGTTTCCCATATTAGGAGATCTATTGTCGGGAGGAGATCTAGATACAACCCTGACACAATCGTCATGGACCTCCTCCGGACCATAGGGAGGCACCCTACTCTCCCAGCGCTCAATTCTGGACTGGAGGTGTTAAAGGATACCCTGCCGAATTACTTTAGTGGACCAGTAGATTTGACCACAGTTCGTTGGGATATATTAGATCCACCCCCACCCTTTGCTCATAATGATGAAACGGAGGATGAGGCCGAGATCCTACATAGGTCCCTGGGAGCTGTTGGGGTAGGTGGAGGCCTGGTTGGTGTTGTGGCTTCGCCTGCGCCTGCTCCGCGTAAAAGAGGACGTAAAAAGAAGGGCGATGTAGCTTCTAGTGTTCCTGGCCATGCGCCCCTGGCGTCTACAGGCACCCCCTTCCCACGCCCACGAGGTAGGCCAAGGAAGGGGACGTCCATAACACCAATCAGGAGTACTATAATCAATGTCTCGGGAGACGCAGGCGGACCATCCAACAAAGCTAGTTTTACGCAGCCAACTGGAGCCTCTGTGAGCGGTGCCGGTGTCCCGGGCGAGGGACCCTCCCCCCGCATTGGCTCCTCCGAGGCAGGTGGGAGACAGAGGGCATCGGTAGGTGCCAGTGGCTTGCGAAATGTCTCAACTCCCTCGGGATCCAGTATCGCTGTGTTGATCCCTCCGCTGAGTGGGGCATCCAAATCTGAGTACCTCACCACTCCGTCCAACGACCGAAAGAGAAAGTCGGAGGAACGAGCCGAGGGTGGGAGGGCTGGAAAGACCCCGAAGCTGAGCGTGAAATCTCGCTCCCAAAAGTCGGGTCGTCCAGAGCCCTCCGGATTTAAGATTTTTGAGTGTCGTTGGAAGCATTGCCGTGCAAGATTGCACAATTTCGAAAACTTGCGAAAGCATGTGTTTAAGGCACACAAAAAACTGACCACTTATAATGCTTATGCATGCCTTTGGGCATCCTGTCATCGCGAGCCCCCCGAAGAAATGAAGAAAAGGGCAATAGAGCTCGGGACAATTCTCCCGGACAAGATATCTCACGATTTCAAGATAGGCGAAGAGTGGGAGGCCCATATAGACGAGAATCACCTAGCGCAGGTCAAGGAGGAACTAGGCCTCGGCCCCGCGGTGCTCCCGAGTGGTATGAAATTCCCCTAAGCTTTCTCTACCTTACATACGAAACTGACAATGTCATAGACTGTGAATCTGGAATAAGTGACGTGGACTATATGTCCGACCGTGATGGACACCCGGTAACTCCCCTCGCTGTCCTCGCTCCCCCAGGATACCGGTTTACCCCCCCCCCGGGCTTCCCGGTAAACCCGCAATTTAGACTCGCGCACGGGTTACCAACACCGCCTGCCCGTAGGAGACGTAACGCGACCGGTCGGGAGGGGGCACTAGGAGTGGTTAGAAATCTGGCGGCCGGCTCGTCCGACCCTGAAAAGCCGGATGATGATGACGATGAAGGGTGGAAGGCAGACCAGATTCCGGTGGTGGAGGAGGAAGATGTCCAGATGAGGGAGGGAAATTAGACGTAGAGGTAAACGCCGTGACTACTGCCCGTATCCTAGTTTGCTTGGGAGATAATTTGCCATTATTCTTTTTTTCTCTTATCTTTTTCCACTGCCTTCACTTGGAGAGGCCAATGACTCGGCGATGTTGCAATGTTTTTTGTAGTTCAGAAACCCCGCATCTTTGCTCAGATACCGCTTCTTTTTTTTTTCTCCCCCTTTTTCATACTTCAATTCTACAAGATTTTCCAAAGCTCTGAATACCTCTTGTCGATTGTTTTCCGATTGCTTCCCTTTGCCCCCTTGAATTCCAGCTTGCAGATTCGCGCCGAAAAAAGGTAGCTATTATCTGCCGAATTTCTTCCTTCTCCTTTCCCCTCAATTGTCTGCATAGCTACGTTACTCTAAAGTGACAATTGCATAAACACAGCGATCCAGAAGCACGAAGTATATTTTAGTTAGTCTAGTCTAGCTTACTTTTCCCGCCCGTTTAATTTCTTTCCTTTCCGATCTTTTCATTTTCCGGTCGGAGCTTCCCTATAGGGTTTGTATGAACATGGGAATTGATGTATATCAATCGCCTGGCTTGACAGGTAGGGGTGGTGCGTCGGATAGATGAATGGAGGAAGGGAATGAGGGAATTGATAGGACATGTTTGCGGAATTAAATGTACGATAGCTTTCCAAACACCAATGACCAAAATTGTTGAATTTTCCTTCCTCGCTTTTGCGACTAGTATGTATATCCTACCAACATGAATCGATAAACATCCCAGTGAGCAGGTAGTTTTGGGCTACTTGGTCAGAAAGATATCATGAACGGTAGAGCACCTGATTTCCGGCCTAATTTACACCAGTGAATATATCATACTTGGCTGGGGGAGATGCGGGGCAGGACAGTTTATCCTCCATCCCACTGCATACTACAAAATCATTATAATACACATTACTTCAAGCTTGCACAGGTACTCGGACACTAGAATATGACGAGTGAAACTTTTACCTAGTCACTCGGCCACCCCACTTAAAAAGTTGCCTCCCAAACGAAGAGGATGTCCACTCAACTCGTCCCCCCAGCCAAGGCTTGTTTCATGCGGAACACCATGCAAACGCTCCACCCGTACAATAAGCTGCGCAATAACCTCAGCGCCGAGTACTCGCCAGCCAGGGCCACGCCAGAACCGTACCGGAAACCTCTGAAAGCATCCCACACGATACGCACTATTCCAAGTGAGATTGTGAAAAACGCCGAGGGGGCGCGCTCGTCCGGCAATTTTTCTTTGTTCGGATTCTTTGTTCTTCCGTGGTGGCGGTAGTGGGGGGGGGGGTCAAATGCACAATTCTATCACTCGCTACGATACCGGCGCGACATCACAACAGGCTTTGGATCTCAAGCCGGCGTTAGGGATGTGCTTTTGTGGGCTGGGGAAAGGGTAGAATGAAGATGGGGAGTTTTGTAGCAGCAGATGACTAGTGAAGAAGGCTTAGGAGAGGAGTGTTGTTAATTGAATCCGGTGAAGGAAATGACATCACGGTGCGTCTTGGTTTAGCGGTTGATAGATGTTTACCTGGCGTAGAGTAATACTACTCTCTATCTGATAAAACATGTTTCAAGTGTTCGAAAATGTTTAGCCTATCATAGGTGCGGGCATGAATAGTGCCATGCCAGCGCTAAGCAGCCTTAAAATGAAGAGAATACAAACCGGTTCGAAGGCCGAGGGAGCCAGAGTAGGTGGATGGGAGGAGGCCCACACACCTCCCTCAGACGGGAGAAAAGTGGTGATAGCCTCATGGCGTTGAGTCGTTTCCAAAAGGGTACCATAGCAAATTTCAATTACCAAAGCTGGAGAAGAGATGGAGGATGTAAGACGAGGAATCGGATCCAGCCTCAATATGTTCCGTAAACTACAGTAAACCGTAACAATTTATATAATTACACAACACCAACTCTGACAAGTTCTGGAAGATATGATAAAACCCGAGTAAAGCACTCCATGGATAACATGCAAGTGAGAACTCATGACTGTCCTGGACCACGTACCCGCTATAAATTCAACTCTAAGACACACCCGACTTGAAAGTTGGAAACCCCTGCTAGGTGTATACATATTACCGGGCACTCAATCGTTGATATTTCGGGACATATCTAGCCCCCCAAAACCAGTGCCCGGAGATCCCCCCGGAGCTGACGTATATGCCGAACCCATGGCCAATACATAACCTAGGACCTCTATTGATGGGTCTTGGCTTAGCATTGGATGAAAAACGATAAAATCAATCACCTCATTTTTAGCTACGGAAACCACAAAATAAGCATCCGCGTAGGGAGAATATTAACAGCTGTAGCACAGAGGCCTTTCTCCAGGGGATCTCAGGCCCGATCCCCGGATCGAGATATTTTATATCTCGTTTCAGTGAGCCACATCGTGAATGTCCACACCTCTCCTTTCCTTCATGGGAATCAGAAGTCCCCAACTACCTCTATCCACCGCCGTACAGTAGATAAAGTAGCTCGAACGCTTTTTCCTGTTTCAAAAACTCCGCCTAGAAGGCAAGGGAGAGTAGTGTTGGGACTATCACCGGATATGCGGAATCGGGGAAGAAGTTCTTGATCCATTGTGGTATCTGAAAGAATAGCAAGAGGAAGGAGGAAAGGAGGAAGCGCAAGTTGCCGAACGATAAGGTAAAACACGGAAGGGCAGCATAAGAGAAACGCGATGACACCCCATACTCGTACTGGACGCGTAACCATCTTTTCTAACAGAGCCCGAGTGATTCTCCATGAAAACACAACAAAAAAAAAAAAGACCTTCAGCAGAGGAGGTTCCAAGACGCCCAAGGATGAGTCATAGGGCATTGCGTGTTGGAGCATGCGTTCAGGGTAAGGCTCGCCCCGACATCCAGGGCCAATATTCCACGAGAACTAGTATTTCATGGTAAATCCAGTCTGCACAGGACGACTTCCAGTATCCTCTCTCCCGTCCTAAGCACCTTCTCTATCAGAACAGATATCTGTATTGGGCGCAGCAAAAGGGATCTCGGAATGTCAGAAACCTCGATTGTCTACCCCTCTGCGATGGAATAGCTTGACTGGGGAACGTAAGCCATTAATCCTATAGTACTATGAGCCCGCGGAATCCGGACTCGGAGGCGCGAGTATGCCCCGGGGACCATATCGGGCACGTCCCCGTCCGGCACCGCCCATTTATTCCCGAACCCCACCCGCCTTACTTTCCGAGCGAGTTCAAAGAGCGGGTCTCTCGATCCCACCCAAAGCCCACTCATCCACTATCACTCACTCCCCGCGCGCACGCTCACACATACTATACATCGCCCGCACACCCGCAACGGAATGGAAAAACTTTAGAAATCAGTTAGAATCAGGAAGTGTCAGTTGCGCATTCGCATTCTCTGTGAACGGAGGCCACACCCTCGACTTTCCCAGTAAGTGAGTTACAAATCCTATCATACATGATGGTTCGATCTACCGATCGCACTCACGAGTTCGCCCACATATCGCAAGGAAGTTACAATACCGCACTAAAGCGCTCCGTAGCAGTGAGACGTCCACCCGACCGACCAATGGGCTGAAATGAAAACCCGACTTGGAAGGAAAACGCCCAAGGGGAGGAGTTCAGAGGGTACATCGAGGAAGTGTAAAGAAAACGGTTTTCGGGACCACGATGAATACCACGCCCGGACGAACACACCCGGCCCCACCGCGCTTGAATCGGCGTCCATGGGTGCCGAACAAACGTCACAGAGATGAACCCTATCTATCATACAACACAAATTTCCCGGAAAACAAAATCTTCAGCGAGTGAGCAGCTGTGATCACATTGCTAATCATTTTGATATCATACTCGATCTAAAAAAGGAAGATGAAAAAAAAAAAAAAGGGAAAACTATTGACCTCACTGCACTACTACCCTTTTGACCACGGCGCACAGGAATATGGGCCGATGGGGTCAATAGAGCTATCTATGCGCCTCTGATGGAGAAAAAAATTTGAATTATGCTACAGTATCATACCTACCAACTACGTATGCGGGCAGAAGCTATATCCGAAAAGCCCACCATATAGCGAAACTATTCCGCCAATATCAGGCGTATGATATGACGAAGGCTATGCGAGGTATCGACAAAGATGCAGGCAGAATTCTCATCTCGCGCTCGCCACCGCGGAGGAAAACCGTTCCATAGGCCCCACGCATGCAGCGCCCCCACAACACGCAAAGCATACAACGGGGAAAATGAAAAACCTCCAATAGATACGTAACCACTCTAGCTTGATGCAGCAGTAGGACATTTCCCACGTGTTTCTATAGCCCCTACTATTCCTCACTGTGCTGTACGGTGGGGTATGATATATCCACTGCGATCCTTCCATCTCGCGTTGGTGGCGTTCAGTGGGGGGCAAAGGCTATTGGGCTCGAGGAAGCTCCTCCTATTACCCTCACTCTCCTCGTCTGCAGGTAGGGCGCCACAGCTACTCGAGTATGCAGGACAAACAACTCATTGCGTGCAAAATTCTTGCATTCCCAGGTTCTTCGGGGTGCAGTTCTCACCGACAGAAACAACACAAGCCTATAATTCAAGGTGTATGATAAAAGCACACAACTAAGCTACACATTATACCACCAAAAGGCCCCCCGAGGCCTCAAGGGGGGAAGGAGATCCTACCAATCACCCACCCCCGTTGTCCGATTATTGCTATTGTTTGTAGTTAACTTTCAAATCCTTTTCTCCTATTTTTTTCCCCCCCACTCTTCGCCCCTCCCTTCACCGACTTGGTACGTGGCTCATTTGATGATTCTTTTCAAAACCTGCGTTGTGGCTTGCATGTCTCAGCTATACACCCCGATGATTAAATGCAGTGCAATATAGATAAACCGATGAAGGCAATTAACCCCTGCCTCATTTCTGAATATTTCGAGACGCCCAGCCTGGGTCCACTCTATGATCAGACCATACCATGAGAGCGCTCCCGAGCTTGGTAGTTGTGTATCGTTTTTTTGTTTTTTTTGCTATTATTATATTATTAAAAGTACCGTTCTTGCTACCGCTATTATTTTGAGTTTCTCACCCAACGCGGGGGGTGGGGGCAGGCAGGCAGGCAGGCAGGCAGGCTTTGTGAAAACGTCCGACTCTGGCTGGCCGGCATGATACAGTCCTGCGCTATCGGCCCCGCGAGACCACGGGGGGCTTCGGGGCAATTGCAATTAGGGTTGGGTGTTTGAGATGTGAGGCATTTAGTTGTGCGTACGATAGGGTAGTCTAGGCATCTGAATTGGTATAATACTTATGCCGGTTTTTGCGGTTTTGATTTAAAACCAGTCATTTGAGGCATAATTCGGGGAAGGAAGCAAAGCAGAGTACCGGGAATCACACCATGAACAGCCCTTCGAACGCCTTATCATTCCTCAGGTAGCGCTCCAAGCGTGGCCGTGGTAGCACCGTACCTATCCCGGTTCAGGATGGGGGCTCGCTGCTGGACTGAAATTGTCGCGTAATGGATGCTTGCAGCAGATCCATTGATCGCGCCGGTCGCTACCCCAGGTGGCAGAGGGATACCGGGCAATGAATGGGGCAATGCCCAGGTCCGGATTCTCCTGGTAGCTGGGTTAGCCTCAAAACTTTCCTTACACAAGGAGCCATGCAGCGACTGACTGTCCTACAGATATACAAGTATGATACCG